TTGGCATGACTTGGATCCATCTAGTATGGAACAGAAATCTGAGCTAGAATTTATTATCTGTTTCATCCAACACTTCAAAAACCTCAACTTCTTACAGTTATTAAATTTGCTGGCAAAGTAAGATTCTTCCAGCTCCAATATGGAGCCTTCAAAGGCTGCCTTCTGGAAGGAGATCCAGGGAAGGTCTTGGTAAATGTGTTTTTTATTCTTTTTTCTGTTTTGATTACCTACTGAGATATTGTTTTCAGATGACAAAGTTGATCTGTGAGTACTGGCAGTCCCAATTGAATTATTTGTGATAGAAAATGGCTTACAAATCTTTTCACCTACTTCTGCAAATTTCAACCCATGACATTTAGGTTCCGTCACTTGTGCATCATCTATGATGGAGAGAAGAGCTAAATGAGCTGTAAAGGGCTTGAGGATACCCAGTAATGAATTCCCATTTCCACTTGAAAGGGACACTAAAGCCTCATAGCCCTTCCTACAAAGAAAACCTAACAGAATTTGCCATAGAGGTATAGTGCTCCCATGGATGAACTCCCCCATTTCACTTGATAGCATTTCAATGACCCTACTAGCAAAGAAACTGCCGGAACATTTCTTCCCACTTTTCCCTGGTTCTCCTGAGTGACTTCGTACTAAAATGAGAGTAGTTGAGGAGCCCTCACTTATCACATCCTCCTTACATTTCTGAACAGCTCTAATTCGAAGATCCGTGATTCTGTCACCCAAATTATCTCCAAGTATATTATCATGTTCAAGTGCTTCATTTTCCACGCTTCTGAATTGGAGGGTATGCATGATATCAGAAGGAATCAGCCTAGATGGCTTCTTCAATTTGAGCAATTCAAGATCACAACACTTGCACTCTAAAGGCATTCCCTTTACATCTAAGATCTCAAGAGTCAACTGTACGGGACTAGGTTTAACATTATCATTAGAGTATAAAAAATTGAATGAGACACCAATAGTTGGATAAATCAATGGAAATGGAATAAGAGCAGAACCCAAAATAATTGAATCAGTTGAACAAAATCCCCAGCCTAAACTCCTTATTCCAGTCGTGAGAATCCCCAACTGCAAAATAGGTTTATCTCCCTCCAAATTTTCTTCATTATATTCAGCATCAAACTTTACATCAATCCAGCTACAATGAATATTTCTGCTGACATAACCATCATTCACGGCACCAAAAAAACTGCCAAAACTCTTGCAAAAGGAATCAACACTTGTCATTATTTCATCATCCGAGCTCACATTCATAAATTCAGACAAGCATTTCAACGATCTACATAATGGCGACAACAGAAGAACCAAATTTGACTTCACAGTGGGGAAATCGTTCAATGTACCTGAAACACTTTCATTTAGCGCATCCCAAGCGTAATCGTGCACGAGCTGAAGCAGAGAACCAGCCACGTGGGAGGCACGAGGCGATGAAATGGCTAATTCAGAAGAAAATGAGGAGCCAGGAAGAGAACCAAGGGTTTCGGAGAGAGAATCAAGCGTCTGAGAGGGATGGTTGAACGAAAGGCTGGAGACGGAAGGCTTGCCGGCGCAGCGGTGGACGGCGGAGGAGGAGAGCAGAGGAGAAAGAGAGGAGAAGAAGAGCTTGAAGGCGAAGAGAGAGGTAGAGAGAGAAGGGAAAGTGAGAAGCGTTCGAGCAGAGGTAAGGATGGAGGTGAGGTACGGGTCAGGGTTTTGGAGGTGCACGAGGGGGTGAAGATCTATGAGGAGGACTATTCTCTCTGTTCTTGAGAATTTCATGGTCTTGGCCCTTACAGAGAAGGAGAGATCTGAGATTTCGTCTTTCTTCTCCGGCTGAGGTGGAAGAATGAAGGTATTGTTGCCGAGAGAGCGGGCTAACGTGCGCCGGGAAAGAGAAGGTTAGATAGAGAAAATGGAATTCGCTTTGGGACTCAAAGAGTTGAATGCTGTGGTTTGGCGGGAAGCCGCCCCCTGTGAAAGTAAAGATTGGAGAAAAATAATACTTTTTCATGGGTTCGGATCGGATCAGCCCATCAACTCCATCTCCATTTTCACTTTTTTTTTTCTATTTTAATTCATTTAAACTATTAATTTAAAATAAACTGTTTAAAATTTTATATTCTAAAATTATACAAAATCTTTTATTTTTTTATTGTATCTAATTTAAATTATTAATATTAAATAAACTGTAAATATTTATATTGACAAATATTTATACATTTAAAATGATGCTTTTTAATATATTGTGAATCATTTGTCTTACATGCATGATTTAGATTTAAATTGTGTTTTTTTACTTCATTTTTATTTTTAACATATAATCACTTTAATTATTTTCAAGTATAATTCATCTTTATTTATTTATTTTGTGTATTAAAATTATAGAAATACATAAAATACCATTTTAAACTTACCATAATGAACTCTCTAAAATTAAAAAGAAAACAATAATACAAGAAAAGCTATTAAAAAATTGAGCAGAACTCACCACATAATGCTAGAGGATGTTGCATGATTGAACTCATTCTAATCATCACATAATAATTAATGAATTAATAATACGTAAACTCATTGCAAATTAACATTTATTTGTGGAGTAATTTGTAGATTGCATTCCAATAATAGGGGTCTTTGGTATTTTGTATTTCAACATTATAATCTTGACATTTAATATCTCAATTTTATCAAAAATACACATTCAATATAAAAATAGAGGATAAAATTAGAAACTTATATTATTGGAGGGTAAGAAGGTAAAAAAAATGACTTAAACCCTAATTTTCTCCTTTTCCACTTTATTCAACATTCTTTCTATTTTTTGTATATTTCTGTTCATTTATAATAATTTAATTCATAAATTATAGCATAAAGGTATTAATTTTTTATTTTTATTTTTATTTTTTGGACAAATATAATTTATAACATTGTATATTTTAAATATTATACGACAATAAGCTTTCAATTTGTTTATTTTTTATTTTTAAATATAACTTGTTTATTTTTGTTGGAGGATAAGATTACGAGCAAAGAGAAAATTTTAAATATTTATAAACTTTTATTATGTTTTTTAATTTTTATTTATTTTACTACTTTTGTTATCGATTGAAAATAATAATATGAATTTTTTAAATAAAAAGAGCATGTCTTAAAAATAATGGCAAACATGTTCATTTTTTGAAAATAGAAAACAAAATTTATAAAACAAATACAAACATTTTGCCATTCTTTGTCAAAACAAATAGGTTAAAATTTAATGAATAAAATATTAAATCCCTTATTAGTTATTTAATAATAAAACAAATTAAAATTTAATTTATTTAATTATATATAGTCTTAAATTTAAAATTATTTGCTCTTGTTCTTTAACAAAATTAAACAATTTATATTTAAAAAGAAAATAAATTATTTAAAAAATACAATGCACAAATTATATATATCTAAAAAAATAAAATTAAGTTTAACATATTTGAGTTAGAACTTATTAATTAATTTATGACAAAAATGAGTGAAATAATTAAAAATGCTTTAAGAATATTGAATAAAGTGATAATAGATAAAAGTGTAATTTAATTTTTATTATTCTTTTTATCTTCTAAATATAAAAACTTATAATTTTCCTCACTAATTTTATGATGAGTGTACATATTTGATAAAAGTTGGGATGGTAAATATTAAAATTATAATTTTAGAGTGTAAGATGCCAAAAACTCCTATTTTTAGAGTATAATATGCAAATTAGTTTTTGTTTATCATATTCATCTTATTATTTTGAAATTATTAAAAAATATTTTATTATACAACAAAATAAAACGTGTGAAAATAATTTTCTACTTTATATAATATTGTATTTATAATTTTTTTAATAAATTTGTTTGTGTTCTACTTGTGCAAAACATCGAAAGAAATAAAAAATATCTTCCAAATCCCTGACCTTATGATCGGTAAGAAAAAAGAATAAGAATTGGATTTGAAATTTCATATATTTCAAATCCAAATCTCATTTTAGTGTTTGGTAAAAAATAAAATAAAATATTTATAAATTTTATTTAGTATTTTAAAAGAAATAGATTTTGAAATAAAAATAAAATTTTTATTATTATACTCTTTAAAAGAATTATTTTTCTAAGAGACTTCTTAAGTAGGCAATAAATTTAATTAATTATGTGCATGGTTACTTGTAGAGACTAGTAGTTATAAGTTGAAAAAAATAGATTAAAAATTTAATTTTAGAATAAATCCATTGATGATGCCTGCAATTAGTAAAAAAATTCCAAATGATGTTAAAAAAAAAAACAAATCAATTAACAAAAATAGATTATATATATGTGTGTGTATTGAGACATGCTTGAAAAAGTAAAAAAAAAAATAAAAAATAGAGTCCTCTGTCATATTATTATTTGTTTTATAACTTAGCAAAGAAATTATAATGAGAGAGCTTAAATTAGAAAAATAATTTTAAAATATATTTTTTTTCAATCTTAATCCATTAAATTCCATCAAATTTAATAGAATTTCATAAGATTTCAATAAATTGAGTAAAAATTCCAACAAATCTCATGAAATACAAATCTCCTTTTTTAATTTTGTTATCAAATCCTATCAAATTCTATCAACAAATTAAGTAAAATTTCATTAAATATCTAAATCACTTTAATCACTTTTTTTAAAGTTTTTTATCCAATCAGTAGAAATAGAATTTTGGAATTTAAATTCCCCTGGATTCTATTAAATTTTGGTTGCCAAAATCGTGAGTTGCCAAACATGGACTGAATAATCATGTTATTAACCGGAGACGAAACTAATCTTGGAATTATACGACACCGTCTACGATGTCTCTCTCGGAGCCCTGCTCAGAGCTGGCTTCCCGAGTCATCCGATCCGAAGTCCTGCAGTTCAGATAGACTACCCTATTGAACTTAGCGCTAAAGTTGCTAATTTGCTACTCAAAATCTCCTCTCTCTTACTACTTCTTTGCAGAGACATCAGAATTGACGTCCAACTTCACCGTCATGTCCATCTCTAAATTTAACCCTCCAGACCTCACTGCACATTCTCTGCCCTCTTCCCCAACTCCGCCCCCTATTCCTGCATTTTCCACCTTTTTCCATCCACTTTTCCGGAAACCCACCTCGTGTCCCCGTCTTCTGTCTGCTTCCCCAGCCAGAAGAAGAAGTCGATTACTCTCTAAATCGTCCGAGGAAGCCGATGTGTCCGCGGAAGAGGACGAGTGGCTGAAGCGATTACCTGAGAAGAAGAAGCCTCTGTACTCCCACAGCTTGCCCTGCGTGGAAGCCTGGCTGAAGCAATTAGGGTTTTACCAAAGCAAGGACGATCGAGCCGTTTGGTTCGTCGAGAAGCCCGATTGGCACGCCCAGTTATCTCTTGATGTTACCGATCTCTACATAAGGTTCGTCATTTACAGCTGAATATATTGCATCTTCGATGATTAAAGTTCGAGTTTTTTGAGGTTCGGTGGATGCATTTTCGTCTTTTCTTGACACGAAGTGGTGATAAATTTAGGATTATCATTGCTTTGTTGGTGAACGATAGGTGCAGTAAATTGTCCTGTAGACGATTAATTGTCCCCATTCTCATGGTTCAAGGAATTTGGTTCCTTTTCATTTTCTTTTCAAAGAAGGTTGTGTGGCTTTGAGAACATCAATTACTTGTGTAAACTAGGGTGTTCAGTGATCATGGAATCGCAATTTTAAGGAATAGATAATAGCTGGAGCCTGGAGGAGCTGCAGTTTGATGTATTGATTGGGCAAGCTTTTGTTGGTAGGCTTTTCAATGACAAACTTTTGGCCAGAAGACCCACCAAGATAAGTTATTACTGGCTGGAAGGAACTGGAAGTTAGAAAGGAAAACAAAAATGTAATTGAAACTTTTGTTTGTGGTTTCTGTTATCATTGCAAATGCATTTGTTTAGGAAGAAGGGCAGCTTCCACGAAACCCACTAAAAATGATATATTTTGTCATTTCACCAATTTTTGGTTTAGCAATAAGATTTTCTTGGCGTCTATCTCTTGCTACTTGATAGTCCTCAAATTTTTCTGTTCTGTATTTATCCCACCAGTTAATTGAAATGCAGGTATCTGAAGGGTGGATCTGGAAATCTTGAGAAAGATGTAGAACGGAGGTTCAGTTATGCACTGAGTAGAGAAGATATTGAGAATGCCATTCTCGGAGGGCCATAAGAAGTAAGGACAGTATTTAAGGGTTGAATTTTGCTTATTATTCACGACTTCCTTTGCTTCCAACCCCAAACAACTCCACGTTTGCAATGCCGTTTCATCTTTCAACTTATTTCCAACTCTGCTACTCTAGTGGAAGGGTGAAAATGGTGTTTCACATGCTACTAGAGCCTATTTGTTTAATTATTACCTTCAAGTATGTTCTTTTTCATTCATAAAACCTGTATATTAAGCAGTCCGGAAATAAAATTATCTTTAATGGTTATTGATGTTATTTGATGTGGAGAAAAAAAAATTGAGAAAAAGAAAAGTTAAAAATTTGAATGCTTATGACTTTATTCACTAAGGTCTCTGTGTTTCATTTTGTCATGTTCTGTTATGCAAATGGCTTGTGAGGGACTTGAGTATTACAGACCCTACAGAGAAAGCTCGGCTTGTTTGGTAGTTCCTATCATCTCTTTCTTTTTTCTTTTTTTTTTTTTTTAGAAGATCTTGTGGCTTCTGTTTGTCCCCTCGCAAATTTAAGAGTCTAGACTTCTCCAACTTTCTTTCCTCTTTGTGGTGCTTCTGAATGGAGTTAAGGGTAATGAACTTGATTGCTTCAAACTTTGGAAAATTACAAGGGAATAGTCCGTACATTGATGAAAGGAATGGCAGTAAAAGATAAAATAATATTTACATTGAAAAGCGGTAAGGTCAAAGAGTTCAACAATAGCTCCCCTAGTTACTACCTAACCGATGATGAGCAGATCACAGCAAGATACGTTTCTGATCATCAATATATCTCCATTTCAATGGAGCTAGAATTGTTATTCTAGTACTACACTTCCATCCTCTGCTTCAGGGCTTGTTGCCCTGTGCCTCCCCACGTAAACCCATTTAAGTTACTTAACGGAGAATGCCGCTTTGCCGGGAGTTTTTGGTGGATTGATCATGTAAATATGGCTGAAGTACAATAGAAGCAGAATCACGAGGATTAAACTTCAATAAGATTCAGCGGAGTGATAATGAGACCAGTACTCCTTGACAAGCTGCCCAAACAGTGACCCTTCTGTTTTCATTAGCTTCATTGGCTCATCATACTCCACCAATTTTCCTGTAAAACAGATCAAAGCACTGGTTCAAAATTCTGTAAATGTTAAAAAATGAATTTCCCATTTGGTGAGATTATGGGGGAAAAGGGGAAAAAAAGAAAAAGAAAACCCACCATCACTCATGGCCAGCACCATAGTGCAGTCCATCACTGTTGGTATTCTATGGGCTACCGTGATCACTGTGCAATCGGCAAACTCGGTCCTGATAGTTTTCTGCAAGATCAGGTCAGTCGCGTTGTCAATTGATGCAGTGGCTTCGTCAAGCACCAGTATCTTGCTTCTCCTTAGTAGGGCACGGCCCAAGCAGAACAGTTGCCTCTGTCCCATGCTCCAATTTGAACCATCCTCCACAACTGAAACAAGAGAAGATAAAAGTGGTTATACATTAGAAAGTCACTATAATGAGGTGGGGGCTTATTCATTGGATTCGTTTCTGAATACTGTCTTCTGTGTTCCAAAACAAAAAAACTTAGGGCAAATTCTTTCTAAAAACAGTTTTTAGGAAGAATGTTTACAAAACAAGAAAAGCTAGTTTTTCAGATTTCTCATAAATTATTTCCTCTCTAAAATGAAAATGATATGAAAACATCAGCTTTCAAGTTTTTAGTGTTTTCTGTTTCTGGAAACACAGAACGTAGAAGATAGATCCAAACAGGTTAGCTTCTTACCCATGGAGTCTAGGCCCTCTTCTTTCTCCTGAATAACCTCCCTTAGCTGACACTTCCCAAGAATCTTTAAACCATGAAAACTATCATAAAATTAGCATTTAGCGACTGCAATGTGAGCAAACACATAACAAACAAGAACCTTACCTCCCAAATTTCCTGGTCAGTATGTTGAGATAAGGGATCCAAATTGTATCTCACAGTTCCATTGAAAAGAGTTGGATCTTGAGGTATAATCCCAAACCGCGACCTCAAATCATGTAGTCCGAGGATAGATATGTCAATTCCATCTACTACAATCTTTCCCCCTGCAGCCTCTACCAGGCGAAACAGAGCACCAATTAGAGTAGTCTTCCCACTCCCTGTTCTTCCAACGATGCCAATTTTGTGCCCTCCTTCGAACGTGCAATTTATCCCACGAAGAACAAGTGGAGTATCAGGCCGGTACTGATCTGTTTTCAGAAACATATTTTCTGAGTCTCTGTGCTAATTGGATTGAGGTTTAGGGTGAAAATACAAAATTCAATCCAGGACTTACCTGCAAAATCAATTATCTCCACTCTACCTACAGGAGGCCAATGGGAAGGGGGCCGGCTCTCTTCTATGACTTCAGGAGCTTCACTTGGAATATGCATGTACTGGTTGAGCCTTTCGACTGAGATAATGTAGTTTGCTAAAGTGCACTGGTTTTGAATGGAGAAAACAAGTGCCATGTTCAACGACAGACCATACGACAAAGCCATTCCGATGAATCCTACCATAGTAACAGAGGCATTTACAACTGATTGTGTCAAAATGATCAAACGGGAATAAGAAAAACGAAAGAACAAACATGAACAAACAAAATTCTTGGACTTAGATGATTCTGTTTCAAGCTAGAATCTATATACAGCAACAATGAATTTGCTATAACAAATCAGGATGCTACAAGAAGCTTTAGTCACCGAGAACCCCAATTAGACGCAAGACTCGTTCTCTTTTCACACTACTTAAAACCTAGAAACTATGTAATTAATAAAGCTACCAAGGAATCTCAACAGGACTCTCGTTTAAACGAATCACTGTCTTGTTATATAGTACAACAAATTCATTTCTGCCAAATTGCTAGGTTACTTCCTGATTATAGTACAGTTAACTATAAAGAAGAAAGATAAATACCCACCAGACTTGAAAGTTCCGGGAGGGAGCAAAACCATGCAGAACGCAGATGAGGAGAAACGATTGCACTGAGGGTTTCAAGCCGTTGGATGAACCACTCGTTGGCTGCAAAACTGTGGAAAAATGGACTAGCATTTGTATCAATGAGGTCAAGATTCTTCGCAAAGAAACGATCCTCCTCCTCGAAAGCTCTTATGGTCATAGATCCAGCTATGGATTCGGCAAGATGATTTGCCACCAGAGACTTGGTTGTGCCGTTGATCCGCATTAGTTCTTTTGCAGATGCAAAATAGTAACTCTGTCGACAATAAATTACAGTTTCGAGCAGCAATTAACATTGGGATGATTTAAATAACACCTACTATTCCTTATCCAAAAAAGAAAAATTCCCTTAGTTACCTGTAAACGAATTGCCAAAATGATCATCGGTATAGAAACAAACAGGACTTGCCATGTTACAACTGCTAACACTGTTAGATTAGCATAGGTATTTGTGGTAGACCCAAGAGTGAAAATAAAGCTAAATGGAAGATCAAGGTCGACAATACTCAAGTCCGAGGAGACCTACATAAAAATATGGATTTACAAGCAATAAATTACATCTGTTAGTTTCAAAAACATTCCCACCACCCCCCCCCCCAAAAAAAATAAAAATAAAAATAAAAATCATAATACTTCCAATGTGATTCTTACCCGACTCAGTATCCTTCCCAGAGGAGTGGAGTCATAAAACGACATGGGTGCACGAAAAAGGGAGTTCAGAAGCTGTGAAAACAAAGATTTTGAAGACTGCATGCCCATAGATACTACAGCCAGAGACCTAAAAAGCAGAAACATAGTCGAGGTAACTCCAATCAACAAGTAAACTACAATCAATCTCAACGTGGTAACATTCGGGTTTTCAACATTAGCGGCCATCCAAGAGTTCTGTAGTATCTGACCGATCACGAATACAAGGTGGGCCATAGCAGCTATGGCGAAAAACAAGTACCCTTTGTTCTGATTTAAGTAGAGGAGGTACGGCTTTAAGCCGGTGTTTCCTACTTCTCGTTGTTCTTTCTTTATCAACTGATCAACACCAGATGTTTTAGATTTCTCGTCAACATGAATCTTCCTAATCTCTTTGGCAGAAGTTTCGCGCTTGTGGGAAGAAGCTACTTCTGCCATTCTTTCTGTGCCCGCAGTCTCTTTGTGTGCATTGACAAGGTCCTGAATTCCTGACTCGTGGCTAGTAGGTGGTGATAAGGAGCAGCATGTAGAACTTCTCCATCAACCATCAACTGTCAAATAATAAAGAGAAATCAATGCTATAAAAGTGATAAAATTGTTAATAATAAATAATATGGAGACAATCTGGGAAACAGAAACTTCATTTGGCTGATCCGTTTGGATTATAATTCTGTTCCCCCCCCCCCCCCAAGTTTTCATATTTACTGTTTCCAAAAAGACAGAAAACATTGAAAATCTTGAAAACCTCTATGATTATCACATAGTTTTCATTTTGAAGTAAAAAAAGTTTATAAGAGCTACTTCTTTTTGTTTCCTAACTCTAAAAATTCTCCCGAAAACAGGTTTTATAAACAACATGCCGAAGGGATTAAGTTCCAAAGACAGAAAACTGTTTTGGAAAATGGTCAATGGAAATGGCTTGCGTTGTGCCTGCGACGTTCCATGATTAGCGGCTAGTAAATTTGGTTGAAAACTACTAAAACATAATTTGCTTTTTTCCGAAGACAATGTTTTGAAAAAATGGTCTATAGAGGAATTCATCAAATGTGGTTAAAGATTTACAGGAGTGGAAGAATAAACTGACAATGACAGCATCAAATGCAGGAAGAAAATCCACTTGATGGGTCACAAGCAGGACCGTCTTCCCTGAAAGAGCTTCCATAACATATTCCTGCCACAATCAAGTGAACTTTGCCCTTCAGTCGGTAAAAGACGTGAATACCAAAAGTAGCGTAGAAAGAAAAATTGCGATTACATTAAACAGGCTGGTTGCCGTGTGAGCATCAACGGCACTGAATGGATCGTCCAATAGATATAAATCTGCATTCTGATATAGAGCACGAGCAAGTTGGATCCG